CAATCAGGAGGCCAGTATAGGACATATTCAGTCTAGTCTTATACCAAGTCCTAAACCACCATCTTTTCCTCCTAAGGCCCCAGAGGCTGATCCTACCCAGCCTCTGTCCACACTAATGCTGATTTTTTTTAAAAAAGAGATTTCCTGTTTCCTCTCCTTGTAATCTAGCTTCCATCAGACCCCCTTATCTGCAGTATCTATATTTTCTGGACCTCAATTATAGACACGTTTCAGGGGTTTTCTCACTGTCCTGGGAGGCACTCAGATGTCAATCAAATGTGGACTGAGTAGCTTAGGTCACAAAGGAAGAAGGATGGCATGCAAAAACCACATGGAATAATTGGTAGGATACACATTTCCTTCCCTCCCTCAGCTTTCAGCAGCCTTTGCCTTTTTAAAACAATCATTCCTGGGGAGAGCAGCAGGAATCTTCCACCTGAAGCTCACTTGTACCCTTCCCATTTCAGTGCCTGGGGGCGAGTCCTCCCACAGCACACAGCACCAGACCCAAGTTCCTGCCTAATTCACTGGGTTGTCCACTGGGAGCTGTGCTCAAAAGGGTTTTTCCATCCCCTTTTTTCTGAGGCCCAGCTCTTTACACTAGGTGGAGTCCACTGACTTCCCCTGGTCCTGGTATTGCCCTTAGGCCTCTCTGGGGTGCAGGAGTTTCAAAGCATTAGCAATTAAAGCCATAGAGCGTTTGTTCCCCAATCTAAGAATCAGAATTAGGATCTGACAATTATAGCTTGCTTCCTTCATCAGGGAGCAGTAAGCATCTTGGAAGGACCCTCAGTTTCCTGCCCTGAAACCTTATCCTGCACTCAGGAATGGGAATTTATGCACAAACATTACATGGCAAAGACCCTAGTCAGTCTGCAGCTCCATGAGGAGGTTCTATTTGAGGATGCCCAGATTCCTGCAGCCTTTGGAATCGCATATTTGAGCTTGACTTGGTATTGGTGACTTTCAGTGCTGCTGGAACCCACTGGGAAGCCTGGCAACACACCAGAGGTGGGTCCTCAGTCCCTCATCCCACTACCTATTGCTGTCATAAGATGAGAAGGTGGGTTTCTGTGCACGTCAGCCCTTTGTGTCGTACCGCTTTCAAAGATTTCTACCAGACTGGTTGGCAGGGTTTTCCAAGTGCAGGGTAGTACAGAGTAGGGACACACACACACACACACACACACACACACACACACACACACACACACACACACACACACACACACACACACACAGTAGAGTAGTACGTAGTAGTCGTACGACAACTACTACTACTTACTTTATTTACGACGTACGTACTGTAGAAGTAAGTAGTAGTTATACGGTAAGTTAACG